ATGCTTCGGCCTGTCTACGGCCGAAAATTACCACTTCACAACTTCGACGTCCCCGTCGATCGCACTTGGAACGATCAATTTTAACTGGGCTTTTACGGCCCCTCTTTTCTATCCTATTTCCTGGTAAGTACCAATCAGTTTGTCACATAAATGAATTAACAAATCGTACGGGGAGCGGTTTTTCGATGTTATGACTAGCAGAGAAGAGATTTCAACTTACGATACTGGGCTGTGTAGCGCTGTTACTCTGAAGCATTTCCATCAGGGCACGACTACTACCGAGCGCATGAGCTGTACCAACACCATGCTCATCAAATGCATACGTCCACCAGTTACCATCTTCATCCTGAAAAAAAAAAAAAGAAATCCGGAAGTGAACCTGCAGCAGAGGAGGATGGAGGAGGAAGGGAACGGGGACTAACGAAAAGCCAATGTATGGGAATTAAAAACAAGAGATGTTACCTGGAAAGAATGAACAGCTCCTTGTGAAGTGTCCTCATGATCCACCGCTATATGAGTTCCATCTTTTAATGCCAAATTCGACAATGCTGCCACAGTTGCTGAACTTCTCTCAACCATTCTACAATCAACACTTCAACAGTTGAAAACATGGCAAGGCAAAACCGTTAAATGTTATGGATATCATAACTTGAAGTCATTAAGTCCTATATGGACGGGGAAGATCCCCTTAAAATTTTAGCTTTCTAGCTTTTCTGGTTGCCGCGTTAGCAAGTTACCCGCCAAAAACTTTTACAGATCCGCATGTGGGAAGCACGTACAACTGGGAGGCTGGGTTTGAAGACATCAAGTTCTTTCTGGGCGAGGAACATCTTGGAATTCCAGCTTTCTGGCCTCCCTGATTCCCGAGTTAGCAACTTACCGACGAAAAATTTTCAAGGAGCCGTACGTGGGGAACACGCATGCAACGGCATCCATTTTGGAGATGGGAGCTCGTACATTTGTATAGATTAAGTTGTCAAAGTTTCAGCTTTGCAGCTCTTGTAGGTAACGAGACGAAAAATCGATCCAGACGAATACATGGACAAACACACACAGACAGCCCCTCAACAATATGCGTTTTTGCATTGCATAGATGCAAAAAAAAAGCATAAAAATGGAAAGAACAACTTACTTTCCCTCGCACAAAATAATTCAAACAATGGAAGTCGGGCGTAAGCAACAGCAGAAAGAGGTCAAATTCTTCAAGAAGCAAAACATACCTTGGCTGGGCAGAAGGTTGTGGACGAGAAGAGCAAGAAGCGACACCTCGGCCTAATCGATTCATACGTACACTCTCGATTGCATCCAGTGTTTCTGGATGTTTGTCGATCAGTTCTTCCAAAAATTTCGTTATTTCACCCTTCAAATCCATACCGCGTGAGGCATTGCCTGAAAAACTGTTTCCGTCGTAATTACTCAGAGTTAGAAAAAAAGCCACTTCATTAAGGAGCGACTTCCGGTGATATTCATCTCCTTGTTGCCCTTTCTCCCCCTTCCCCACTTCCTCTGATCGTCTCTAAATAAGCCGTGGGATATGGTGTGAAAATTTAATTTCTTTAATCGTGAAGTGCTAAACGCATCATTACTAATTTGGTCACAAAACGAACAAAGGAGAACAGCGCACGGACTAAGCGCAGTCGTACACAAGAGGGCTAAACCCATTAAACAAACTTAGTGACCTTGAAATAAAAATCCACGAAAAACAAATGATACTTCGTGATGCTCTATTTTTGTTCGAACCCAAAAAAAAACTGGCCTAATATTGAAAGACTGTCAGTGCCGTTCACGCGTTCCGATGTGCGACGTAATGCGCTTGTTGAAGGTCGATCCAAATCACCAAGTGAAACAAAAATCGGTCTCCAACCGGAATCCGACGACGTTATAATACCTGATTTTTGTTCAGGATCAAGCTGCAACAAAAGAACTTTGCACCAGTCACCTGCGAAGGAAAATATTCAAAAAAGAAAAAAACTCTTAAATGAAGGGTGGCTTTATTTGTCGATAAATGACGCCTAACTCAGGAATACATGGGGTTAATTGGGTTGATCCGCAGAAAAAAAGAATGGATTCCTTACAGTCTGGTTTGCTTCTAGAAAATTAATTGGTGCTACAAATGTAGGGAAGTCAAAATTCCATCAGCTTGTTTCTTCAAAATTCTCGAAAGATGCAGCCAACAAAAGTTTTACCAGTACACAGCTGTTTTTGACGTATGTCCCTCATATGCGCCAATTCCGAAAGAATTTTTTTCCATGTACTGCTACTACGGGTACTCTATTACTCTTCAGCGTACGTACAAAAACTGCACATACCTCATTTTTTACAATTTAATTAAATTTACATACAGGCCAATTCAGGACACACCAGCTGTTGCTTTTCTGACTGCTGTTAGGGCAAAAAAAAATCTCACTGGCCCACCTTGAAGTTCATGAAAAATTAGATCTCACTGAAAGAGAGGGAGAGAGAGAGAAAAAAAGGAAAACCTCTGAATAATGTACGGAAGCCTCCACAGTAATAGCATCTTTTTTGCGCCTTTTGGTGGCATATGGAACACTGCATGAATTTTCCTGAAAACAAAAATCACAAAGTCGGGTGAATAAATCAGTACTGATGATAATGATTACTCAATATATCATGATGTGACCACTCAATATTTTACTTAAATTATCACTAAAGATGCTGAAAATCTTCCTTAAAAACAGTTTCCCGTACTAGGCACTGTCAAATACCCGTTGGTAAGCCTTCTGGTAAGTCCCATTTTCAAAACCTGATCAAGAAAAAGCGAATAACTACTCTAGCTTCGCCATATGCGATTAATCATGTTAACAGATCAAAAAAAATCATAAAGGACCTGCCATTCTCAGGAGGAAAATTTGGCAGCGATTTATCCAAACTAGCAACGTTCACTGGGATCATCGATCTCCTACTTTGGCTCCCCTTTTGAGAGAAAAAGAATACGAAACACACAAACCCATTCGTATGACGAATGAAAACAGAAAATTGCCACCAGAAATATATTTAATGAATTTAAAGGATTTCCAGGACAACAAAAGATGACATCTCACCCGCTCTGAAGGACCTGGTTGTTCGTCGTTCTCTTCGAAAGCGACGGAATTTTTCTTGCTCGCTGAGCAAAAATCGCTTGAATCAGCAGCCTTATCAGAGCTTAGTTCACCTGAAAATCTCTTAGTTGAAACAAAATAAAAGTAAATTAATTACCAAACCGAATGAAAAATCTGTTGACTACAAAAAAATAAGTTACTAAGACTGCAAAAACATAAAAACTTCTGGATTGCAAATAGAGGAAGGGTAAAAGACTGCGATGATCAAGAATAACAATTGGAACATAGAGCAAACATGTAAGGGCAGTGCATATTCATTAGCTATCTGAGTCTCATCACAGGAAATTTAAAATTTAAAAACTAAAAACATGAGGCTTAAAAATCTGAAAAATTTGAAAATTTTAAAATTTCGAAATTTAAAAATCCTACAACAGATTAAGGGAAGCAATTTTATTACAGCGATTTTTAAATGCGTTGATAAATATGATGAAAACTAAAACCGACTTATACAGCTGATGTGAGAATTTCATGCTAATGTTATTACCTTAGAAGCAGCTATGCCAGGCCCTTCGAAGCTGAATTACATAACTGACTTATCGCCTATCCAATATAACTGGGCTGCTGGAAAAAAAAGAGCAACAAAACCTGAATCAAACGGAGCGGTACGTTTGACCAAAGCGCTTGACAAAAAAGCTGCTGTACTGCTCATCTTTGTAGGATAGGATTTACGAGTAACCTGAAAGTAACATATTCCGGTAAACATTTT